AAGATGACTTATAGTGAAAACCTGTTTACCCTCAGGGGCATGGGGCGAACTTATATCTGTGTCCGTTTAAATCAATTTTATTAACAGGAAAGGTGGTGATCGAAAGATGGAAGATCAAGCTGGGTCTGCTTGACTATAAATTATTTTTACTGGATTTGAACCCAAGATTTTTCGAGTAGAAACAGGCAACACTTCAGGCATACCTACACGAAACGATTACGTACCATATATAAATTTCAAAAGAATGAAAAAAAACATTTTTATATCCTAATACTTGAAAACAAACAAACAAATCCAAATATTGATTGTACTTGGGAACAATAAGAAAGATTAATAAAGTATTTTCAAACAGTGAGTAAAGCGTGAATTGTAAATTAAACGTAATATAAAGACTACCATTTATATGCTAATTTGGTTTAATAAATTATGAAAATCGAAAGTACATTAGAATACTTATTACGGCATTTTTTTTTGAAGCTAGTATTGCGTATTATCTTATCTCGATAATGTTTAAAAGCAAAAGTAGCTCTTTAGCTAGATAAATTATATCCAACGGTTGTTTTGTATCATGTTTATCATTTATCTGTTTTTTTTATAGATCCTCAATCTAATAAGCGAAGAAGTAATGTAATAAAAATTTGTTTCTGAAACGTAGAAAAATAATACTTAATCGTTTAATCATTGTTGAATTTGATTCTCCCAGTAATTTTTCTGAAGTCCTTTTTATTATTTTTTTATCACAAAAATAGTTCGACATATTTTTAGAAAACTCACTGTCACTTCTCCCTCATAGCTTAAATAAGAAAAGAGGAATAATATTGAAATAATCTAAGTCATTAATGTAAAACAAGTTTAAAGATTTACCCAATATATGTTCCCACTTTGTACATTTTTGTATAAAACGTAAGCAACAAAACACACGTTTATATGCAATACTTTTTTGGGGCTTAGACTGTCGTCTTCGATCAGCGTACAGAACAGCTCCTGAAGATCTCGTAAAACAATAAAAAAAAACAATAAATAGCTAAGCCTGAAAACAAATAAAAATAAACAATAAGTGACATGTTGCTCGTAATATTCAAACGGTGTGAAGCGAATTATTGCCGAGGCGAATAAATCATGGAAAAATATGATAATTGCAATAGTAGTACTTTTACTAATTAACAATTTTATTACCCAGAATTATCGAATACCATCCGTTACGTTACGTAACGACTTATATCACGTTATCGTGTTTACGTTATACGTTATTGAGTAATTTCAGAGCATATTTGGATTTATTAACCGGTTGGCCTTTTGTGGCATTTCCTATTAATTTTCAATCAATGAAAAATATATTGGCTGGCCTAGGCCTAAACTATGTCATTACTCAACTGCGCACGATTAAAAGGTATTCCAATACTTTGTATTAAAGAGAAGGGCTGATGAACGTGGAGTGCTTTTGCAACAAATATAACATTTTTTTTTTCAATGAAAGAGCTGTCTATCTGAGTATTGAAACACCACTATTGACTAGACATTAAAAGTTCCGCCTTCTTAGCCAATCTATACTAATATTATAAAGAGGAAAGATTTGTATTTTTGTATGTAACGGATAAACTCAAAAAGTACTGGACCAATTTTAATAATTCTTCTTATATTAGAAAGCTACATTATCACTGAGTAATATATATGATAGGCTATATTTAGTACTTTATTACTATATCATCATAGAATAGGCATCTGTAGAAATTCTTACTAAAACCAACGGAAGGCGTAAAAAAATTAGCCGTAAAATATATTTCTTCGCATACGCTGCGAAAAGTATTAATGATAGGACAAAAAATGTTCGACAATATTATAGAGTATATCAATATCTACAAAAAACATCGCGAGAGCATAATATGTCTAACTATTGTAGTTACGTCGCTATAAGTACTTTTTTACATTTAACAAATTAATGATTCATGGTCGTTTTAATTATCACGCTTATAATTTAAATATTTGTACGTATATATGTCTACCCGTGCGAAGCCGGGACGGGCCGCTAGTATTATTATAAAGTGATTAGAATCATCACCGGTGGGGGTTGAACCTACGACCTACGTTGATTATAAGCTACACAATGCTACCATTGCCAACGAGTCTGTCAATATTGCAAAACTTAAACATACAAACATAGAGATAAGCTAAGCACGCGAAGCTTCGAATCCCGGGAAAATTATAAGTAGATTCGGTCAGAATAGGACAACATTATTATGTGCTCTATGGCATTGAGGGGAAGCGGGACCAAACATCCCTCTTTTCTGACAGAGTGAGACTCACGAGTCTGCCATTTACGTATTTATAATCAATACCATTATAAAAGAAAAGCGAGGAAAGCCGACTTGTCGCTAAATGACACTTTGTTCTTTATTAACCACACTGCGGTTTGTGCTCCCGCCTACATTTTACAATAATGTGTTTTGTATCTAGAAAGTTGGAAACGGAAATGGGGGAAGACACTATATAGTAAAGAAAGAGAATTTCGCCAATGTGAAGCATGAAACACACAAATTCCTGTGTCTAATTGACTCATTAACTTTATCAATAAGCAAGTAGATCACACAACTTTCCCCCGCCTTATCAAAACTTTGCTGTTCCTCAGGGTTTGTACCCATTACTCATTGCCCCTGTTTTAGTCTTAATAATTTGATCTCTATTCTAGAGTCTGAAGATTTGAGTAGAAGGTAAAGTAAGATGTGTTCAATTTGTAAAAGTAGAAATCAGATCAAAGATTCAATCTGCCGCTAGGAGTAAATTCATTAAATACTATCTGTAGGTAAAGCGAGTAGTACACATTTAAATAAAATAATAAATACAAATAACGGGAAAACTGATCGCGGATGCTGCAAAGCATCTGACGTTGTGGCGTAGTTAAAATAATGTTCACTAATATATTTCGCGATAAAAACCCTTAAAGTATTGTAAAGGTTAATTCATTGGCAAAGAGTCATATTCGAAAAATAGGATCGAAGGCTCGAATGATCGAACTAATAAGGCATTGTAATAAGTAAATGTATGTGCAACAGATTTTATATATAACGCGGGAGTCCTAGCAGATGTATTATGTTCTGTAAGTCTCAAATTGTATAACGGCAAGAAGAGCGTGAAATTTAAAATTTTAAAATAGTAATAAAAGTAAAAGAAAACAAACATATTATTAATGCTCTTATCAATATTCAAATATAATAATAATTTTACGTTAATATAAGACTTCTTGCAGCGCCATCTAGTTCAAAGCTTAAAAACAACATAGGTAGTTATTGTTGTCAGCACGGATTGTATTAGTGTTGCGATAGATGACGTGAATAAACATAAACTAGGAAAAAAATTGAGTAAATTGATAATTTATTAAATTTTACACAAGGGTTGCTTGGAAGAGATCGCTGTATAGCGATAAGGCTGCCCATGTTAACTCCACAACTTGTTAGAATCATTTATTGTTGTAACTTGTATTCTCAATATTATTTATAAATACTTTTTAAGGAAACATGTATATATTTTGTATTTGTGTGTGTAGCAATAATCAATTAAATAAATAAATAAATTCTAATACATTTATTTATGAATAAATGAACACAGTCCACAGCTAGACATCTACGTAAATGACGTTAAGTGATATTTACAATGGTAACATGTTACATTTTAACTCACCTGGAGCTTACATAATTACAATCAAAGTTTTACAGTTACATACTTTGAAGAAACAGTTATAATTAATATTTTTATCATACACTTCTTAAAAGTGGGAACTGGTATTATGTAAATAATAATTCTTACACTAGTTACGCATTACACATATGAAAAAACAACCCCTAATAAAATTTAATAAATATAACCAACGTAATATTGCAAACTTAATAGTACCTACACTCATTAATATTCTTGAGCAAAACATCGATAAATTGGCTTATTTAAATGTAACGTTAAAAAGAGTATCTGATACTCTAAATGCAGTGCAAATTCGTATTAAATTTGCACATATTATAAATATATTTTTATCTATGTCCATACATTTTTAACACTATGCACTACAAGTTTATAAGTCCATATACAAAATAATATCTCACGCTTACATTTCTTTAAACATTTAAATACATAAAATTATTGTTTATCGTCACAGGTTGTACAAATGTTATAAGTTTTAAGCCACAAAAGATCAATACATAATAGTGCATAGTAAAACATTATTGTAAAATGTATATTTTTAATACGAATCCAAAGATGTCACTATGTACCGACTTAATACCAAGTTCGTAGCTAAAATATTTCTACAAATTTAGCTGATTAAATTCCAGAGTATTACCTAGCATTGCGTTAAGCGCGAGAGGTCCTGGGTTCGAATCCCAGGTAATAAACATAAAATTGTTGTCAGGCAGGGCACAGAAGTCTGATCAACTACTTGCCCGTTAAAAGAACGGATCAGTGAAACGGACACAGAAATGTGTTCGCCCCATGCCCCACGTGGGGGAAACGGGCAGTTAATTTCTTTTTACTTTTTTTAAATTCCAAAGGTATGAAAGTAATTTTTACATTTATCATTCTACAAACTACGAGAATATTGTAACATCACTTCCGTCAACTTTAGAAACACACTGACTTTTAATCATAATATCTTTAAAGCTACCTTTTATCCAAAAACATTAAATTTCGTTTCTTTTTATGTTTATTTTTATACCTATATTCCTTTCTAACGTACAGACAAGTATTACTATTTACAAAAAAATTAAGTACAACGCCATCTTGTGTTACCCTCCAATTAAAAGTAACAGTTTTATACATCGAAGCTAAACAATGATAAGTTCTATAATTAAAAAGGTATTTTTTATCTTGCCATCTCGTAACCAGCTTGTTTTTAACGTTCTATATTGGATTTTATAAATAATATAAGCAATATTCCATTCCGATGGCAGAAAAGATTAGAGTAGACATCGGCCCGTTAGGTTGTGTATAGCCATTGATGATTGTTTTAGCTTAAATTATACATAAAGCCAATGACTCCAAGTAAAACGCGAAACAGGTGCACCGCTCCTTATGGCTTCATGTTCATTTTCCGGTGAAATGCAGCACGCCAACCTCTGAAAATGTTTTGTTAAACTTACTCTTTGTAAAGTAGCTTAGAGACAATGAAATAAAAGTTCAGGAAGGGTTAAAAAAGAGATAGTATTATGACTTGCAGATATCTTGTGTCTCTACTGTCTACAACAGATAAATACATTTTACGTATATTTTACTTACACGTAAGTATGTACTTAAGTAAGTACATATAAAAAGGTGAAATAAAAGAAATCAAGTTTGTAAGCTAAAGCGTCATATCTTAACAACTAACGAACTTCTTCACTTCTATGTAACCCTGGTACCTGTCGACAATTCCCAGGAGTAGAGATCAGTTTATAAAGAGCCACGATTGGTATCATCAGGATGGATGAGCAGGCCAGTCCCCACCCGAGCACGACAGCCCATTGGGGATAAGTGTAGTGTTGGTATTGAAGAGGCTGCTGGTATAACAGACCGAACACCACGACACCCTGGAATTTTCCTGTTTTTAACCAAAGACTCAGATAAACTTAGCCTATCTGTAGTTTACGCGAGTGGTATACATTTAAATAAAACACTTTGATCGTTTAAAACGCGATATATATTAGTTAATGTTATTTTACAGGGATACATGGATGCCATAGTCACGAGGAAACCACGGCTGCTGCAAAGAATCTGAAACGTCGCGCCGTAATAAAAATCATATCGCGTTTTAAACCGTTAAAGTATTTTATTTAAACTTAGCCTTTTTAAATTACAAAAAGTAATGATTGAACTTTTATTTTTCACATGATGACACGGTAACTAAAATTGGTTATAGCAGCATCATGGAACACTATAGATGCCGGTTCAAGTCCCGTCCGTATCGTATTTTAATTTCCTTTTATTTCAATCTAAATAAATTTGTAAATTAACGAAAAGAAATGGTCGGCGTAGGCCAATTCCATATCAATTCCATATCCTATTTCTATTCGATCTCTTAGTTATCTCTTTTTTTGTTAATTTCGCTAATATATAATTTTTACGAATGAAAAAAACATTACGACGCCATTTTGTCAAGTCACCTACTTTAAGCTATCACTGGTGTCAGACATGTTTTGGATTTGATTCCCGGCAATATACTATAAATACTCACGATAATAAAGACTGGGCTAACGAACTTCCAGCATATCCGCCAATATATTCCAGGTCGAAAACCGAGCATCTCTTCGACGTCATCCGAAAACCTTTTCAACCCTATAAAAGTCCTTAAAGTTATTTAAATTTGATTATTCATTGTTATTTTCAAAGTATAGAACAACTCAGATCGGCATCCATTTTTAATGAAAGTTCAAGTTAATTCGTGAAAAAAAATAATTATAAATAAATGCCTTTTTACCATAGAACCAAGAGACAGCTACAGCTTCAAAGAGCGCTGAGCAAAGCAAAGATATCCCCGCTGCGTACGTGTCCAGAAGATGGAACATGTAGATACCTCCCTGTAAATACAAGTACAATAATAATTTACGAAATAGGCATTTTAGATTTGTGCAAAATATTTAGTAGTACAGGAGAGTACAAAATGGCCGCTTGATACGGTTTCCTAAGGGTTAAAACTAGCCTTAGGCTTAGTGCATTATCGACAGGATCTCGACTCATTATATGCTATCACAGATTTTTAATAAAGGAAATAACCGGTGTAATATTGATGCAGGCGACGCAAAAGGACACACAGACAACCAGCAGAGTGAAGTGTTCGCGTCTGAGCCACGATGCTCCACTTGCGCGCGCGGCGTCCAACAGCCCTGTGATCACACACTCTAGGCCGCCCATCTGTAATAATAAATTCGCGTTTTAATCAGTTTTATTTTATATAGTAACTAATTTAATCAAAGTTAACTTAAATTTTATATTTGGCAAGATGGAGTTTTAAGAATTGGGAGACTTTTGTTACATCACACGTTCTATCATATGTCACACTCTTTAGGAAGTAACAAGATAAAATAAAAATAGTATTTTTTATGTATTATTATTTGTTAAATTGAAATTTAAGTATACGTCATTGACAAGATGGAGTTTCATAAGAATCGTTCTTAATACCAAGATTTATGAGTTGGAAGATTTGTTTTGGTTCTCACCCCCGAATCCAATCCTAGCATTATTAGCATGAAGAAGAACAACATCGCCCAAAGACTTGCGCCGGGTAAAGTAGCCACTGCTTCTGGATACACTTGAAAGACTAGACCAGGACCTGTATAACGAGAAACATATATATTTGTACTTTATTAAAAGACTACTTTTTTTACAAGACTTTGTCTTGGATCGATGTAAAATTAAAACAACAACGGGCAGGATTGTTATTTTAATGGTACCTTCGGTAGCCACAGATGAGATAGGAACTCCTTGCTTATGAGACATGAAGCCCAGATACGTGAAGATGACGAAACCAGAAAAGAATGACGTAAAACAGTTCACCAATGTCGTGACCAAGCAATCCCTGGAAAGAAATATAATGTGTGAAAATTTTAATATTTTTCACATGTTATTGCACATTGAATATGAAAATCGGGAAAGTTTTTTGTTGATCTATAATTGAGCTATCGAGTCGTACCCCTCATTTCGAAAAGTTCTTTTTTAGGGGTGCCGCGGGGGGGCGGGGCCCGTGTTTTTTTTTTTTTTTTTAATATAAATTCAATATTTATTAACTTTCATTGAAGAACAGAAGGGAACTAGAACCCACAGTATTTTCTTTACTGTAAAGCAAATGGCTATACTGAAATACGTACCTGTAACAATTATTATGAAAAGTGTTGTAACTGGCGTAAGATAGATGAACGCCAAATCCAGCTCCAACCGAGTAAAATATCTGAACTGCCGCATCGACCCAAACCTGAAAACGTAAGTTATATATTATGTAAAATTTTGCCGACATTGGTGGGAAGTAACATAGTGAAAATGTAGACGATTTTTGTTGGTATTGAATAAGTATTAAAAAGGTATTGTTTTGTAACATTAACCTCTTATAAGGTTATAGACTCCTAGTACTTACGTTAGATGATAATTACATACCTGAGTGTCCTTTAGTCTTGATAACTCCGGGTGCAAATAGTACGCAATGCCCCGAGTTGCCCCGGGCAGAAGAAGACCTCTCGCCAGCAAAATAGACAGTACAACATATGGCATAGTCGCAGTCAACCATACAACTTTACCTGAAGAGAAAATTAATATATTTGTTAGTACAAATTAGATCATATATAGCGCGTTTGAAACTGTTGAAAGTGTATTATTAAAAATCAATATAACTGTCCAAATATGAGTCACAATTGACTGCTTACTTACGGGAACTAGTTCTTGTTTGAAAAATAAATATAAAATAATAATTTTTACAAACTTACTTACCTGAACTCTTGACTCCTTTAAACAGCGATAGATATAGCGTTACATACACAATTCCTAAGCAAATCATGAGTTGCCACTTTGGAAAGCCCAAATCGTTTAATCCTTCTGAATTCTGCATCTCTAGTACTGCACGGCTGAAATAAAAGGAAACCTTTATAAAAGGCTTTTTATGTCTTGAAGAGATGAAGAATTCATGCATTCGGGGTAATTTTTTCAGTAAATCACAGATTTTACTCCACTTATGAGTGGTGTTAGATTTACATAAAGACCTCGTCAAAACGTAAATAATATTACTTTTCTAACACTAATAAAATATAAAAATGTGTTTCCAATTTAGATAAATTATTTAAAACTGAATTAAAACATATATAACTTGATTGTCTGTATGTACTAGAGGCTGAAAATACATGTAACGAAATTAAAACGAACTTTTTTCTACATGTCGTGTATAGACGAGTTTTTTAATTGGTAAATAAATGGACATACTGAAAAAACTCTGAAGCAGGCGTGAAGTGCGATAGAGGCCCGTGATATGGTACATCTGTCTTGTTAGTCGTGTTCTGTCTCGCCGCGTCCCAGCACTGCTCCGTGTTCCAAGAGTTGTCGCAGTGGAGCCAAGGTAGTTCTGATCTAGCCGACGATACGAGGAAGTAGAGTGCCCAGCCTGTACATACAAGTTTAGTCATTGAATTGTTTTATCTTTTTTTAATGATAAAGGAGGACAGACAAGAACGTGGTTCACGTGACAGTAGGGGAAATACCCTAGCCTATCACCTAATACCATCTAAACCAGATTCGTTGTCCACCTTATTTGGCATTGGATATTCGGAAATTCACAGACTGAAACCACAACGCGATTAAACTTCACAGATTTTTCATTTGCCGACGATTGCTCGATATTTTAATATTTTAACATCCAGATTTCCAGACTCCAACATTTTTCACAAATATTATAAATTGATTGGAAGAATCTTGGACCCGGCGGGGATCAACATACATACATACACCGACGAGAGCGTTTTATATTTAATGCAAATTATAGACCTCTAGGTAAATCTGTTGCAATAATCATAACAATAGTAACAATAATTTCTTTAGCACTCATTATAAAATAATTTATTGTGAAGTAATTTAAAAGTAAATGTAATCGTATAACAATAATGTTGTGCCTGTTATAGTTTGGAAAACCTATGATAGAATTCATTATTAAGACAAAATTAAACCCATGACATTTGGTGCTAATAAACGAAATGAAAATGTGTGAAATAGAATTTAAGTTGTTTAACTCTCATATATATTACAATAATTGCAAAAACAAACTTTATAGACAATACAATAGTGTTATACTCACCTATAATAACATTATAATAAAACGAAACATAGAACGCCACCATCACAGCACAAAACCCGACTCCTGTAACATAACACGAAATAATGGAAAGTGATCCATCAACGTCGATGTCATTTTAAACTTTAAACCGAACTAACGTTTCACTTGCATTAAGAAAGATGACCTTTAACGAGGTTACTCCAGTTAGGGATAGTTTTAAATCAATATGAGATTAAAACAAACATATTTATAAAATGATCTTACTTCTTGATAGAAGTAAAAAACCCAAGCTGTATAATATCCTAACAAGATGCGCTGTCTTGTGTTTTACTACTTTTCGGATTCAGTATGTGCCAAATCCACAGACTGGAACCGGAACGCGTTAAAACTTAAGGACTTTTTCAACTGCCGACAGTAGTTCGTGACCCGGACGGAATTGCGATATTCGAACATCCCATTTAACATGCAGATGTCGAGACGGAGTCCAACATGTCTGGTGAATGAACACATGGCCTGATATTTTAGCAATATATTGGTACATTATAACAACAAACCGTCCTTCGTCTCTTACTTCTATTATTATTAGTGCTTACCTTTAAAAAGAGGACATATTTTCCACAGTGTAATAGGCCCTTGTCTATTGTACTGGCCCAGAATTAGTTCCATGTAGAAGAGTGGAACAGCTCCGAAGACCAGCATCAAGGTGTAGGGGATGAGAAATGCACCTACGTAAAGATAACAAGGAGAATGATGTAACTCAAATCGTTAACATTTTTAGTGTGAATTTATTAGTTGTAAATCGTTTACCCGTCCGTGTTATAATTTCTTCATTATAGATTAAAATTAAACAACTATTTAAGGCTCTCGAAATAAACGAATGGAATTTAAATACGAACATGAGAAATAATAATTTACTAAAAATTGATTATAAATTTAGAAAAAAAGTCGGCGAATATCCACAGCGTGCCGCACTGTTGCTCTAACCAATTAAGCTACTGTGACGTCATCGTCGATTTTTTTAAATCTATTGATATATGCACCTCTCGCGCATGTAACTTCACTTGCGAATGAAGGTCGAAATTACATTGCGCGACTTTTAGAAATAATATTTATTGTAAGCAACAGCACTGAAGACTTACCACCTCCATTCCTATAACAAAGGTATGGAAACCGCCAAACATTTGCCAAATCCACAGCGAAACCGATGATGGAGAGAAGGAAGTCCGCTCCAGTGCCCCAAGTCTCCCGTCCATCATCAGCCAGCTTATGTGCCAAATCTACGAATTAATATAATATTATCCGAATATCCAAAGTCAAAAATAGGTCGACAGCGCTTGGTATTCAGATGTTTATAGCTGGTATATTTTAACTTGCTTGCATGCTTGTCTTCTATAAAAAAAAAAACTTATGAATCTGACAGTAAATAAAGTTGCTTGCTTGATGGCTCATAAACTTTTAACTAACCCATTATGAATTTTAAACAAAAACGTAATCTTAATTGTCAATCTTTTAAAGTAACGCGGGACGGAGCTAGGGTGTTCCATCACAAGTTAGTAACTTACTGAAAATAATATGTATAACTTTTCATTTTATTGTAAAAATTGAAAAAGCTCTCGCAGCTCATGGATTTTTCGACTGATGTCCATAAGCACACGTATGATCATTACTTATAAGTATTAAAAAATATATATATAATTATTGCTTACTTGCTTTACTATATTTCCTATTCCTCTTCGGCTCCGTGAAATATCCCTCCTCCTCTATTTGAACTTTAGGCTCCTCTAAAAAACATTCTATTGTAAATACAAAAGTTAACTCGATGTTTCAGTAGCGAATTTTCGAATACTCACTTTTGTAACAGGACAGAGTAACCACAGAGCTCTTTGTCGATTTGTGATCTAGAACAAATAATGTATAATAGTTATAATAATACAGATAACACTGCTATTAAATAATGAATTCGACATAAACATTTACTACTTCAGGACTCTTAAATTAAAAGCCTAATACAATCACACTGTCTAAGCATTTTCGATTCTGCAGGGTTGTATACATTCTAAAGAACCCTGGCTTTTTTAATCGCTAGACGCGTCGGCGTTCGTGTCACGCGAATTTTTCAAATTGTGTTTCTTTATCAACTTGAAGAAAACATAAGAGATAGCTAAAACTAATTTAACACAGTATTTATACGGTTTAAATTTGACGGGCTTGTTGGTCTAATGGTGGCAATGCATGGCTAATATTCAACGGGTCGTGGGTTCGATTCCCACCGGGTCCAACATGTTTCTAATGTTTCAATTTATATTTTTGATATAAATTGAAACGGTGATAAGGAAATTCCGTCCGGATCACGAAACACCGTCCACAGATGACAAAGCCGTGAAGCTTAATCGCGTTTCTTTTTTAGTCCGAGGATTTCCGAATAACCAAAACCAAACTAAGTCGACAGCGCCCCTTGTTTAGATGCTATAGGCTGGGGTATATCGTCTACCCACACGAGAGCCCCAGCCTTGTCGGTATTCCTCTATAATAAAAAAAAATTAAGAGAAAAATACCCATGGAACTACTAAGACAGAACCTAGTTTTTGAAAACCTATAGTGTTTGTAGTATATATTGATAAACGATCCACAGATCTCAATAAGAATACCTCCGGCGCTAAAGTCTCTTAATAAAGCCGTGGTATTGACTCATAATGGAATTCCGATACGGAAAAATTCCGATGCTTAAACGGAACGGAACGCCGACAATGCATTCGGTGGATTTTAAATGGAGCCTTTAAAACGATACCATACAATAGTTATCTATTTCTATATTATATGAGAAATAAATATATCATTTATTGGGAATAAGATACCCAACGTATAAAGTAATCAAAGTGGGATGTTGGTGGGGCACAAATATAATTTCAAAGTGAAAGCGTATTTGTCTCAAATGTCGTTTGTCTCCATTATAAGTAGAAAGATATATATAAGCAAAAATTTAAGCAGAAAATGTTGAATTAATAAATAATTAATGATGCAGTGTGTAATGTATATTAATATTAAAAAGCTAAAGAGTATGAACGCGCTAACTTTAGGAATTACTGGTTTCGATTGAAAAATTATTTTAATTTTGGATAGACTATTTACCGAAGAAGCTTATTATAAAGGCTACAACCAATAGAAAGGAGGAAACACTGGGAAATTTGGAAAAACGGAGTAAATTATTCGTACCTAATAAAACAACCCATAAACGTCTAATTTATTTTATAATTGTTATGTTTATGCAGTCGTTTAAAAGTCCAATGATTTTAAATAGACAAATAAGGTGAATTAAATAAATGCATTCTTAGCTAACAATTAATATTAACCGTCCCCTTCCCCTCCCATCTCTGTTTCTTCCCAGCCTTTTCTGTAATATCCCTTATACCCTCTCTTCTTTCCTATTTAGACCTACCACGTTATTCCATTCCTACTACTATTACTGTCACTAAATTAGTAACTAATAATAACTGGGATCTACAGCTTTAATTCTCATATGTCTGTCTGTGTGTGGTCTGGTCGGGCCCAATCCGAGATTCGATCTCCAGACCTTGTGATCTGCGTTCTACTGTAACTAGACCAACAAATCAATTCTTTATGAATGTTAAGGTTAGCCATGATAAGTCAGTGAATAAAGCCAGTCAATAAAGGTCAGAAAGCAATAAAATTGAGTTGTGAAGAGGCAATAACTTCAGCGGAGTGCACTTCGAGTACCCGTTGTTAGTGTTGCTAGTAAACTATTGCAAATAAATGAAGGAAAAATCAATCGCTGCTCACGGCCGAGAACTTAATAAATGCAGCTTTATTTTAAATATTCTCTGTAGTTTACGCGACACACTTAAATGAAATGAAAATAAGAAAATAAAAAAATAAAAATAAGTTTAAATATATTATATTCACATGAAAAAATTATATCAAGGGCGGGACTCGAACACACATTAAATTAAATCATTTTAAACGAGATAAAACCGCCTTGGTGTAAATGAGTTAGTGATAAGTATTCTATTCCTTAACTTATTAAAAACTACTAACTTATTAAAATCGTTTCATATTTGTTTTTATGCTACAAATCCTTATAAGAATTTTCCCGCGCATTAAATGCCATTTGACATTGATACCCAGTGACAAAACAAAAATGTAGTTTTTTAACCTATTAACATCTCGTTGAAATTGTAATATAGTTAATCATTTCTAATATATTTTAAGTTATAGGAACCGATATTAGTAATTATCTTATTTATTTACACTATAGTAAAGTTACCTAACGCCCTTGGCGTGCTGCTGGCCGAACAATAACCATCGTCTCTAACGCTACGCCCGCCTGGAGTGCCCGTGTGTCTCGTGAGAAGAGCGGGACTTGCGCGTTGCTCGTCGTACGAGGGTACCGTGTGTGTTACAATCACGCCGCTGTTAAGCGTGGCCTGGTAATTATAGAATGGTCATTTATGTAACTGCAACATATAATAAATAATTACTAAGATTAACAAATTGTGAACTTAGATATTAGATTAAGGTATTGTTATATACATCTGACGTATACGGCCTTATTACAAAAAATACTTAAACTAACTGCGGAGTCTTGGTTTAACTGTTAAACTATGTCATGTACTGGATTAGTACAAACGTTAAACTTCGTTTTCTAATAAGGATTTCAAATAAACCAGGTCTGAGAGTTAGTCCTTGTTTTGTAATAAGAATGAAAAGGTCCGACTAATACGACCGGGACTTCTATCCGTCTGAATCGTAAGGCAAAGAAAACCATAGTGCGCAAATCGGTATATGTTACAAACAAAAATTCGACGACATATTTTTCAACGTGGTTTGAAGGCTTATATACCCTCTTAGAAGGCGTTTGTCTCGCAAGAAGACACTGTTAAAAGGCTGATAAATGTAGTACCATAGTAGGCACGGCGGTATGAAAATCCCTCTCAAAAGGTCGGCGAAGCGGCAGCGAGCTGCTGATCTCTGAACGATGACAATTTGTCTCCACATCCTGCACCAAGTGAAAAAATCCTAAGGTTTACACATTACATAATATGATGAACAATATATTTATACTGAAGCAAACTTCGTTAAATATCAATTTAAACTTGAACATATGTAAATACTGTCTGTAGTTTACGCGAGTAATACACATATAGATAAAAAACTTTAACGGTTTAAAACGCGATATATTTTGACGGGGAGTCTCCCCGTGACCACGGCTGCAGCAAAGCAGCCGAACGACGGGCCGTAGTTGAAAATAATTTTCAAACAAGTTCAACTCAAATATATCGTGTATTAACACGTTAAAGTCTTTATTTAAATTAAACATAGGTATTTACAGTTAATTGAAATTTAAAGATATTGTCGTTAAACTGAATGTATAAATAAAAAACACTTAGTAGTAGTGGTTGTAGTCAACCCTTACTCTGTATCCTAATTCCTGTGCCTAATTAGTATTTAAAGATTATTGTTTATACTTGTTTTTGCGATAGAGTGAAGGGATCTTAAATTTTCCACAAGCCTCGGATAATTTAGCTTAATAATTGCTCCGAACTTTTTCGAATTCGTGAACTTAAGAATTCGTGAAATTACTTTCGAAGCAATAAAATTCTTACTTGAGTTCTGAGAGGTGAAGAGTCGCCGCGCGATTCACTGCTCGAAGACCTGTTGCTTCCATCTGAAAAGTGTTCCTAATTGAAATGTTGGTTTTCAACATTTACATAGTAGAATAAACAAAATCTATGGAATAATACTTTACACAAAAAAATGGCACAGACAGAACTAGAATCCACGACCACTGCGTTCCGGGTTGCTTTACAAATTGACCTACCCATATCCCCGCACATCATGATTAGTTTATTCAATGAGAACTCACGTAAGGGCATTTCTCTCTTATTAGTAAGCAGAAAAGCAATTTACGCTATTTAAGTAACAGAATACCTATAAGTAGGAATATGAAAAATATATAATGGCTAGAATAAAACGTCTATAGTTTTATCTAGCCATTATAGATTTTTCATTTTACTGGGCACACGCGTTGGCCCATTGCGTAAGCGAAGCAAATTTAAAGTTTGCAGAAACACTAATAATAATAGCACAGACATCTAATTAATATTTGATAAGTCAGAAACTCATAAGCAATGTCAACAAAAAAATATATTTGAATTATATTGGAGGGTTAATTCTCATTTTCATTGAAATAAAATCAATACAAATTTTGTTTACTTCATCTCGACAATCGAGCATGGAGCCATTCATTGTCTGTGGATTTAAAAACTATTCGAGGGTTAATCCTTGTAAACAAACGGACCCGGCACGTGCCACGATTTTTACGTGAGGCTTGAATTTTAATTACATAAATAAAAACCATATTTAACCACAAAGGAAAGACGAACAAGACGCGGTAGCTCAATTGGCAGAGTGGTCCAAAACGTTGAAATCCAAAATACATTATCAATATATAAGCTCCAATTTGAATTATATATATCTTTAAAAAAAATATAAATCAAGGTTATTTTTAGTAGCAGGGCAGACATTTTGCTTTGTCTACTACACTTATCATTAGGTACTGCTATATATGAAGACAGGAATGTGACTGTGATCCTAAGGGATAACCGGGATAGATTTTATTTGAAAACAATAAATTGTTCTTCCCTTGTGCCTGGCCCGACCGAAACTATAATGGGATATTAAGTTAGAACCCCAAACGTCTAACGCAATGGTAGGTAATGACCACTTAACCGTCGAGTCATGAAGGCAGTTTTCCACATACAACTGATAAAATATTGGTCTTACTTTCCCGCAGCTCCCCCGCTCCTACGCTATTGCCCAGCACGGGCATGCCCGCCATGGTGCTATTATCTGTCCCGCATCATGTCACAACTGGAACAAAATATTAAAATTACAAAAGAAAAATGATTGAAGTCTTAAACAGTCTATCCATATATTATTAGATATTTTTTTAATTACTAGTAGACTTTTATTTTATCGCTAATGTTAAAGTCAAAAATCTGCTACGATAGCGCCATCTTTTTCCACATAGCTGGTATTTGGAGAGCATTCATTTTACAGTTGACGCGAAAACTAGGCAGTATTTGATGCAATTTTATTTAAAGGGAAACCCTGCCCAATCGAAAAATTGTCTTCTTATCAACATTGAAAATTGAACGCCGTGATCCTCGTGGTCTGTATGGATGCTGTAAAGCATCCCAAAGACCAGTTTGTTGTAGCAGAAAATAAAATAATATAGAAGATACCACTCGTGTAAACTACGGATATAAACTATAAATAATTGTTTAATTTTCTATGTTTCCCATCTTTCACTATTCGTACCCACCCAAAATATCTCATTATTTTCAACGCATGATTTGCTACTTGAACTCAGTTGTCTTTACTATAGCATAGTTTGCCCTGCTGCTCCTAATTTATGTATAGATCACCTGTACAGTATTATCCGGCTCAGAAATTACTTGGAAAGCATAAATTGATTGGCAGCGGTTCTTGAACTATTCGTGTAGGTAGACCTACAAATTATTTGGGATTGAAATACTTGAGAGAGTTACGATGCCGCAAGTTTACGGTTTAATATATGTATCGGTCTAAGAGATGTACACTTGCACTTATACATATATTATAAACGAACAATACACTAAAATAGTAACCGAAAGTTAAACATTGATTGAAGGTAGTTATGACAAACCTCATCACTATGCATACCCTCCATGTCCCATACCTATTAAAGTTTCATATACTTATCAATGTTGCTAATAATTTTTGTAGGGTAAAAAAGTATATATAGAAAAATCGTTGCACTATAAATTGTCAATTGATAATGCAACATATGAAATCTGATAATCTGTACTAAAATATATAAAGCTAAAGAGTTTGTTTGTTTGAACGCGCTAATCTCAGGAACTACGGAGGAAAGCTATAGGTTATATAACATCGCCTTGTGACCAATACAAGCGAAGATAAGGCGAGAAATGTGAAAAAAAAATGGGAATATTATTCATCATTATGGGTTTCCAAAGCGTACGCTGCAAAAACGGTTCAAGGTATCTTAATAAAAGTAAAGAATGATTCCTCTTTAAATGATCTAAAAAAAAGTCCAGGATGCTATAAGTCTATCTTTTAAGATTAACTAGGAAGTGACGCAACCGACGTTGTGTGGTTAACACTTACGCTTAAGTTTATAAAGATGACGGGGTTTTCAAAAACGAATTTGGATGCCCAAAATAACGATTCTCGCGGACGAAGTCGCTGGCACAGCTTGTTTGATTGTAAAAGTAAAAGTTTATTTCCGATTTACTATCACATTAAAAGCCCTAAAATTACGATCACCTAAAAAATCTTTTGAAAAAGTCGTTTGGACTTACTTGTTTCTCACTTGTAACTCAATTGTTTCATTATGCTCTTACAACGAAAATGTTAAAACTAATCGAACGAATCTAACTTCTCTCTAATATGTTCAATGTGAATGTTTAATGTTTATGTTTCGAGGTACAAGCTTTCCCTCGCTCCTTCCATTTACTTTAATTAAAACAAAGTCTTTCTGCCTAATAGGTTTTTCTACCTATAATCCAATAACAGCTGACAGACAAGACATTAAAATATTATTACGAACTTAGCGCCCCTTGCATTAACCACGAAGTGATAATAAATTCAATAACACCACGATCCCTATACGAATGTTCGTAAAGATAAGTATGGGAAAATAATAAATATTTTACTATCAATACAGACGCGTAAAATAACTTCATATTAAACGACATCGAATAAGTATGGATGGACAATTCCTTTGGTATACTTTGTATTAGTATCTTTTTGATAATATAAGTGTTTACTTGTTTTTTGTGATTAGAGAAGGACCAATTGTGTAAAACCAAAACCACAAATCGATTCATAGTCGTTTTAAAAGCAATAATGTGTATTCATTAAATTTAACATTTAAACTTGTCTTGACTGCTATTGTGTGGTTGGACAATCAATTACTTTGATTCTGAATTTAAAAAATCGATTATACATTGAAAAAAATACAACTCGGGCATAACTGGTACCGGCATCGTGGTTCTTTGGTTCTATAACAATGATAAAAATATGAAATATAAAAATCTGTTTCAAATGTGAATTCTAAATCTAGTTTACACTCTTGATAAAAAAGGATAACTTTTTTTAAATAAAACACTTTAACGGTTTAGAACGCGATATATTAGTTAAACTTATTTGAAAATGATTTTTAACTTCGGCCCGACGTTTCGGATGATTTGCAGCAGCCAGGTCACGGGGAGACTCTCCGTCTTCACGGCTGCAAACGTCGCGTTTTAAACCGTTAAAGTGTTTTATTTAAATGTGTACTACTCGCGTAAACTATAGACAGTATTTAGGATAACTTTTTCTTACTATCTGTTTAATACATCTATAATATGTAATCTATACTAATATATAAAGCTGAAGAGTTTGTTTATATGTTTGATCGCGCTAATCTCAGGACCTACTGGTTGGAATTAAAAAACTATTTTTCTGTTGGTTAGAGTATTTATCGATAGGCTATAATATATCGCGATGTGACTATAGGAGCAAAGAAACAGCATAAAATCTGGAAAAAAATAATTTGGGTGCTCAAAACAACTATTCTACACGGACGAAGTCGCTGACACAGCTAGTATAAGATAAAACCTACGCTGTGTATACGCATACTATAAAACTATACTTTTGTTATGAAGATCTTTTGTTTTTTTTTTTTTTTTTTTTTTTTTTTTTTTTTTTTTTTTTTTTTTTTTTTAACACATCATATAGGAATGCTACTAAACCAACATGATTTTTAAGCAGAAGAACAAGTGTAAATGCTTGAAATATTAATTTTATTTTGATCTTTAGTTGAACAACTGTTTTTAAAATGAACATTATTTCAACTAAATTGAGTACGGGCCTTGTTACGGATTAAATTATATCGCTAAGACGACCCAGTAAGCGTTAAGCACGTTTTAAAATTAACCAGCGTTTTCGAGTACCGACATCAACATTCAACAAGAACCTCTTAGCGGTGTGATAGATTGACATTTGACAGCTCCAATGATCGTATGTTATCTGTGATACGTTAGTGACGTCACGAACACCTATCCAAAAAAAGTTGCCAATTACACAGATTACAAAGGGGCGTATTTTTTTTATTTTTTTTATTATAAAACAATTAAAACGGCGATAGCCGCTTACATTAATTGGATAGAAGTTACACAATATAATTTATGTGATCATAGTTTGACTTTGAAGCAGTTGGATGACGTTAAGCCCAAAATTTGCTAGATTCGAACACCGGGAAAAAATATCGATGTAGCCGAATAAACACATAAGACACAGTACATCACAACCTTTATATTATCTATAGTTGTTGTCGTTAAAACCGTTAAGATGTTATAGTGAAAAATACAAAACCTTTGGTTACTCGCTAAAGTTAATCTGCAAATTATTTGAACGGTATGTCCTGCCCAATGTCCCACGTACTATGTGAGGCAGATAGATAATTATTTCGAATATGATGTACTTTTGTTTATTGATAGAGGAAGTCAGACAAGCAAGGGATTCAATTGATAGGTAGGTGAAATAACCCTGGCCTATAGCATCTAAATAAGATGCGCTATCGACTTATTTTGGCTTGGATATTTGGAAATCATTAGACTGAAACCGAAACCTGATTAAACTTTAGGGCTTTTTCATCTGTGGACGATGGTTCGTGTCATTCTTACTTCTATTTAATATTCTTTTGCTGAAAATAGTGTTGTAGCATAATAACCGTGCTGCAACTTATGCTGACTAAGACCCTTTTGGCATCATTTTATGCAAAATTTAATTTAATTTTGTAGTATTATTATTATTTTACTTTTATTATTATTATTTTTATTGTAAAATGAATGCTGAATAAAGAGATTTATTATTTTTATTATTATTTATTATTAATATTCATAATTTTAGACAAAGTCCAAGATGTTTCTGAAAATTTTAAAATTTATTAGAAACACGTTGAACCCGATGAGGATCGAATCCACGACCCGTTGATTATCATATCATACCAACGCACCCGTCAAAGGCACTAGAAGTTTTCGTTAGAATTTTAATTTCTAACTTATAAATATGAGCAGATATATCCCATGTCTGCTAATGTCATACACCATCTTGCTAACTTGCCATCTAATGACAACATTAGCGTTCTACATATATTAATGACCACGATAAGACACATCTTTGGCGACTAAAGACTACCTCTTAAATCCTTGAACTCGAGTGATCATAAAATACATATAGGGTTTGTTATTTAACATATATACAATTGTAAAGTGAATTGTCCCTTGGACTTGTAGCAGACACAATTTTGTATCCGTTGAAGTGGTCGATTAAAATTTGTATGTTTTTACGTTGTTCGAATCTGGAAGAAAAATACATACTAACAAATCATTTCAGATAATTATAAATTAAGACATTTTTTAACAAATTAGAGGCAGTACGAACCTACAACAGTATACGATTTACCAGTAAAAGTACAAAAAAATATTGGGAACTTTGATAGATGAGACGGTAAAACGTGACATTTTGTACCATGGGGTTGAGCCCCACAGACGCCATCCAAACTTTTTCGAAAATATATTTTTAATATTCACTATCTTGAATTTGTAATTGTTAGTGTTACACGAGCGTAATTTATGGCAAAAATCTGCAAGATGGCGGGAAATATGAGCACTTCGGTCCCGTGTTTAATGTACCATGTGTTTCGAGGATAAGAGTACGCCACGTTCTACTGCGATAAACTGACCTCGCTAATCCATAGACTATGCAACTATGTAAAATAACAGTTCATTA